CGGAACTAACTAACCATATGCTCAATTTGGAACACATCAGATCGAACAATATCACTAATCAGATGATTATTTATGAATTTCAAGAGGGATTGATATCATGCATGTCTGTTTGATAGCATATAATAAAGATTTTGTCTTGCCTTACAACTTTATAAATGTTAAATTAGACCATTTTAATAGTATCGATAATGATAATATTTAGGAACGTGGTTGTCTAAATTTCATTAATACAAAGCTGAGGCATTTATAGAAGTACAATAGAAAAGTTTTCAAAATGTGGCAAGCAGCACCCATATTAAAATATATAAGTAAGTCCATGTGCAGTGCAACTAATAATTGTTGTTATTTTGGCATCATTAGCTTGGCCTGCCCATTTCTGGTTGGGGCTGGAATTGGTTTTTTTCCCTACGGTGAGAATCGGGATCGGATGGTCGGATCGGAAAAATCGGGAATTGGTCATTGGTTCTGTTTTTCTTTTAAATTATTGATTTTGGTCAGCAAACTGTTGAATCGGCCGGTTAATTGTTCGAATCGTTTGAACCATTTGAATGGTTTTGACTGTTTTTCGATTTTTAATTTTTTTAAAAAAATTTTAATTTTTTTTGTCAGAACGGGCTGACTGTTTGGGTCGAACGGTTGGACCGTTTGAACTGATAACCAGACCCCTGACCAATTCGGTCACCGGTTTGGTTTTAAAAACCATGGTGAGAACAGGATTTAATTTTAAGGCTGTATTTGTTTGTGGTGTAAATTTTATTTGCATTGATATAATATATGTTTTAAAAACCGACCTAGAATTTGAACAGCATTAACTATCAATTTCTGGTTCAATAGTTCAATTGTCTGATCCAAAACAGACAGATTCTTGTAATTTAAAACATAAAAAACGAGTTGATAATTGGAGTGCCTGGATCGTCGGTGGATCATTGGTTTTTAGCAAAGGAACAGTTGTGGGATAAAACAAAACTAAGTGGCTAAATGGTCCAAGTGTAGCAATAATAAATCCTACTTGATCGAAGTGCTGTATTATTTATTGATCTTGACCCACAGTTTTGGTTCAGAATCCAGCAAAGATAGAAGAACCCAAAAGTCCTGGAAAGACAGGACCACAAGAATTCAAGGATTTTAGTGGGTTGTGGCCCTGCCCTTGTCCCTTATAACAACCGAGAAGACAGTGTCCAAATACTGTCAATGCAGACTGCAGAGTTAACAGAGTCCTCTCCCAGGAGCAAAGCTGCATCCATTATTCCATGAGTGCCCTTTTCAGAATTGAGAGCCAAATTAGTGCCTGATTTAGGGTCTATTTGTTCCGTGTGTAATTGGAACCCGAATTTGAATTGGAATCAGAATTGGAATGCTTTATTTCTACAATCTATTTAATTCAAATGAAAATTGGAATCAAAATCAGAATTAGAATCAAATGGAATTGGAATCTTTGGACGTGCTCAGAATTAGAATCAAATGGAATTGGAATCAAATGCCCAATTGAGAGCCAAATTGGGCATGCTCATTTTTTCAATCCTATTGCACGTTAATTCTCCAAAGTGATGCTAGCCCAAATCTCTATATTATTGATCTTTGTTTTTTTCGCCAACTAAGGATGGATCCGTTGGTACATAGCTGGATTGCTTCAGTGTAAATTTGGATTCAAGTGATACTTTAACTTACTTTAGAGGAGAGTTATTAGTGTGTTGCTGTCTTGTTTTGAAAAGGGGAAAAAAAATGAATCACAGTCCTAGTGGGGAGATTCACATTTCCGACCCATCGCAGGATTTTCAAATAAGGAAAAAAAAAAAAAGACTTCCCAGTGATTTTTGAACACGTCAGCAATGCGTGTTCATAAATCATTCACTGGGGGGTCTTGGGGTTGTCCTGCGACCCGTCGTAGGAAATGCAATCTGCCTTGTGGGGGGATTCAGGCATACGACTAAAGTAGGGAAAGAAAGGGAAATGCAGGAAAAGCTTATACAAAATTTGTAAAAGGTTTCACTTCCTTTCCTAGAGGGATGAGATGAGAAAAGTGTGAGATCTCAGATCCCAAAATTGTGGATTTGGGGTCGCATCAAAACCGTGCAACCCCGGTGGAAAAAGTTAAGAAAGTATTTTTATAGAAGCAGAGCAGAGTAGAGTAGCGGCGATAACTTTCGGCCCCAGATCTGCTACCTCCATTCAAGCAGTGGCTGTGGCTTCTCTTGAACCCAGATCTGCTACCTCCCCTTTTCGAACCCAGGTCTTTCTTCTTCTACCTTCCCTTTCGAACCCTGATCTGCTACCTCCGTTTGAACACAGAAACATAGCAGCAGCGGCGGCTTCTCTTTCTTCTTCTTCTACATCCCCTTTCAAACCCAGATCTGCTACCTTCCCCGTTCGAACCCAGAAGCAGAGCGATGGCGCGACTTCTTCTTCTTCTTTTGCTACCACTCCTTTTGAACCCAGATCTGCTACCTTCCCCGTTCGAACCCATATCTGCTTCCTCCCTCTCTCCTCTCTTCTTCATCATAGTGTTTTCCCATTTATTTTCTCTTATCTAAAACCAAACAATGGAAGTGTAAACTTTTATACTTTCCCATCCCATCTAAATCTTTCCACAAACCAAACAGAGCCTTGAGCTCCAGACCAAATTCGCATGTGAGAAATTGTGTGGTTATTGGGTATATGCTCTTTATGACGGCGTGGAGCGTTAATATTGGTTGCACAACCTATAAAACAGCCATCGTGTTCAGCTAATCCAATCTCTCATCTTGGTAGGCCACCATCCTCTCTCTATGCGACTAAGCACAGGATTAGCAACATGATGCACATGACCTCAGGACTGAAGATTAAAAAAAAAAAAAAATTAAAATAAGAGGCTCAGTTTGGAAGGAGTAGAAATACAAACATGTAGAGTGCAAAATCGTGGGTGTATTTGTGCTACTTATCTTTGTATTTGTAATAAACTCTTTCCAAACTGAGTCTAGCTAAAGACCTAAACATTGAGTTTCCTTTGTCAAATAGCAAATTAAGAGCTACTATGCTGAAATTGACCATAGAGATGACTTCATCAAAAACCATTTTGCACCAAATCCTATATTTACGATGTAAATAAGTCAAGGTTCGAGTTTCTTGAACTCACCAGAATGCTAAGTAATGAGATTTAATTTGGAAACATTTTGGCTGTTTTTGGTTGCAATACAAATAAATTTGCACTGATGCAAAATTATGGCAAGTGCAAATGATTTAAGTGTAAATTCTGACCTATTTTTGTTTCAAATTTTAGTTTATTTTGTTTGATTGCAATACAAATAAAGTAAATTAAGACAGGAAACAGAATAAAGTAAAACCCAAAACAAAATTAACCAAGAACTTGCATTTTTTTTTCATTTGTACTCTCATAGATTTATACTAATACAAATAAAATTGCAATGCAACCAAACACAGCCTTTATATTTGGATATCATTTACTTATCTCAGTCTAAATCATTAATATGCAATATCTATAGCATTTAAAGCATAGGGCTTGAAATTATACATGAGAACATTTTCGTACTTGTACGTTTTCATTCATGGGACATGTGGGGAGTAAATCTGAAATTGTCGGACATATGGATATGAGACATGTAACTTTGTCACCCATCCAATGCATGCTTTTTATCAAGTAGGAACCACCATTTTTTTTTTTGTAAATTAAATTTTATTGATGGAGAAAAGTTCTATTAAACCTCTTTAAAATCTCTGCAACTAATGTAGATATTATAGATGGTTTCAAGGAATCTGATCATGGCGTAGGCTCTCTCTGAGACCAATTTCCAATGGTAAATTAGCATTCATCTTGTGAAAAGCCTATTTACTTTAGCAATTTATGAAAGCCTATAACCATTATTCTTTTGACAACATAACAGGCTCCCCTACAAGTAATATCATGGTTTTCAAAACCGGACCGTTGGACCGGAAAAACCAGAAACCGGTCCCTTGACCAGTTTTGTTTTTCCTAAAAATCGGATTTTCTCCCAAAATTGTTGATTTTGGTTAACGAATCGCTGAACCGGACAGTTAATTATTCGAATGGTTTTGACCGTTTTTTATTATTTTAATTTTTTTTAATTTTTTTATTTTTTTATCAGAATGGGCCGAGCGTTCGATTCAAACGATTTGACCATTCGACCTGATAACCGGACCCTGACCGGTTCAGTCACCGGATCGGTTTTAAAAACCATGAGTAATATTTCATTATAAAGAAATGGCTCCATTAATGTAATGAAATCTTACCAAATCAACTAGCTTGCATTGGTAAAGCCAGAGAAATCATGGAAGATAGAGAATTCAAAATCGTGCATCACGTGGGTATATATTCTATCTATCTATATATTTTACACGGGCACCTCTGTTCTGTCTATCTATTTTTTAACTTACATTAATTCCATTTATAGATAATAAAAATTAATACAAACAACTAATAAAAAAATAGTAATGGAATTAATAATTACTAAATAAAATTTAACATCCATTTAAGTTTCGTTTAAAAATAATAAAAAGTTATTAATCTTAAAAATAAACTTTACTAATTAAAAACTCATTTGGTAATAATATAAATTCATGCAACAATTAATACATATAAAAAAAAAATACTTGGGTTGGACTCAAACCAAAACTCTACCCAAATGGAAATGTCTTATGAGTCTGGCTCCTGCTTTAATATAGATTCTCATCAGTTGATGAATATTGTGTATAAGGTTCTCAGTTGAATAGTGTGTTTCAAGGCTCTACCCGAAGGAAATGTCCTTATAAGAACTGTTGCAATTGTGTTGTGGCTCGATTTAATTTTAGATTTATCCGTACAGTAGTCCTACACTCCAACACCCGTGAGGAGGTCCTATGTGTTGTGTGCATGCATGATAGTACGATACTATGTATGTATGGAGCCAGGGACCTGCTACCTGTATGTGTTTATGATGCATGCACAAGCACAACAATTGAAGGCTAATTAAAAGTATATACGATACAAAATTGTGGAACTCAAGCTAGGCTTAAAACTAAGGAGAGGACAATATTAATTTTCATTTGCATTACATGGTATAAACTAGAACAAAGTGATTCAATTCAAACCACATACCATGTATATTGAACAACAACAAGAAGCAGATCGACCAGACCATAACACACAACTTTGTATCAAATTTCTCTCTTTTTCTTCTAGCTAGCTCTTCCCAATAAGAAGAAGCGATTTAAAGGATATCAACTAATCTGGTCAAAGGATCTCTTGAGGGAGACATTACTTCTTAACTTCTGGAGCTTGCAAGCTAGTTCTTGTAATCTTTCCTTCAACAAAGCTGGAGATCTTTCCAACCCATCGGGAATCTGTAATCAAACAAGAGGAGATGGGGAGGAACCCAGTTTAGAAAATCAGAAGCAGAGAAATGTGTGCCAAAGACTTGGAGAAGTTACACTGGGAAACAAGCCAACCAACCAACCTTGCTTTCGGAGTGAGTAAGTATTTTGCTTCCATCTCGACAGTGAGTAGACCGAACCGGTTCAAGGTGATGAGCTTCGAGCTCATCCAGAAATGCAGACAGTAAGAAAGTCTGTCCGTCACACTTGATGTCAGTTAAAGACACGTTGACACGGTCGCCTCGGAGCCGAACGGCCACCGATGACGACGGCTCGGGCACCAGTCGGATAATGCAATCAGTGGAGTTGGAGGAGGCGGAGTTACGGTTGGAGATGCGAACAGTTGGCTTGGTCATGGAGGAAGCGGAGGGGGAGAAGGAATTCTTGCGTTTCTTGAGCGCCTGAAGGCGAGCTACAGCTATAGGGATGTAGTTGATAATCTCGTCGAGGATTGCCGACTGCTCCTTTCGAACCGTGTTGGCGTGGGGGAGGATGGCGTGGAGTGACAGGAAGAGCTCTCGCATGGACTTGCGGCGCTCACGCTCGGCGAGCTTGTGACGCTCTCGAGCATTGACGTCGCCTGCTTCTGGGTTGCCGTCTATTGCCGCTGCGTCCCAGTCGCTGCCCCATTCAGCAGTTGCCATTCTTCTTGATGGTTCTTCCCAACTTCTAATAGGAGCTACTGCTACTATATCTAGTCTAGTCAGGACTCAGGACACCAGAGTTCCACCCAAGCTAGCTACTCAATTAATAGGACCCAAATTAAATTGTCTCGTGATTCTGGGTGGAGACGGTAATTTGCACCTTCCAATCCCAACAGATGTGCTTGCAGTTAAAATATCATCAGCTGGGTAAAAGCCAGCTTTGTTCGGAAGCTGCCGACAAGTCATTCTCGTTACAGCACATGTGGAGCGGAGAGCACTCACTTCCTTATTTGGGAACATGCGATGCGGCTTTTGGACCATATCCATCTACTGGCTACTGCGTCCCGACTCAATTATATGCCACACGTCTACACTCAATGGCAAGTGGTCTGAAAGTTGACGGAGGTCGGTTGGACTGGTTTCGGGTGTCATCAAGGGTGTCGGCATGATAAGATTTTAATTGGCTGGCATGGAAAACTGGGTGGAATTTTATCCATGAGGGTAGCTCGAGATGGTAGACGATTTGTCCAATTCGGGAGACGATCTCGCAAGGCCCTTCGTAAGGAGACTAGGGTGAACTCTCCTAAAAAGTTGAAGGTTGTTTGGGTGGAGCTTGAACATTATTAGGTCGCCTATTTGGAAGGGATCAGGTCTTCTACCTTGGTCAGCTCGGGTAAGGTTAAGGTTTTCTTTTCATTCCCTGGTGAAGGTTTGGATTTCTTCCCTAGTACTTGACTACAAATGTATGTGGGCACTACGGCAGCTGGCCGGTGATGACTTCAAATGGACTCTTGTTCATTGTCGAGGTCTTCTATGCATTGTAGGAGAGCTGCGTGATGTCCAGGAGGTGAACCCAATTCTTCTGTATGGCGGAGATGAAGTGCCGAAGATATTCTTCCAAGAGGGAGTTTGTTCTCTCTGTCTGTCTATTTGACTCTGGGTGGCTGCTGCTAGAGAAGTTCAACTGCGATCCCATGAGCTTGAAGAGTTTTGTCCAAATTGTGCTGGTGAAGCAGGGATCACGATCACTGACAATGTTTTGTGGTACGTCCCAATACTTGACAACGTGTCTAAAAAATAAGTATGTTGTCTCCTTGGCGGTGCATGACTTAGGTGTAGGAATGAAAGTTACATATTTAGAGAATCTGTCAACTACGACCAGAATGGAAGCATAGTCTCCAACTTTGGGAAAGTCGCTGATGAAGTCCATAGAAACGCTCTCCCAAGGGCGCATAGGGATAGGTAATGGCTGAAGTAATCACATGGGTTTCTGGTGACCGGGCTTGTCTTGTTGACAGATCAAGCAGGTCCTGGTGTACTCTCTCACATCATCCTCCATTTGAGGCCAATAATAAGCATGTTGCAACAAGGCAAGGGTGCGCTGCCAGCTAGGATGTCCAGCCCAAAGACTATCACGGCATTCCCGAAGAAGCTTCTTCCTTAAATCATCAGCTTGGGGAACAAACACTCGACCACCCCGAGTGAGTAAGAGATCATCTTCAACCCAGAACCGCCGAGTCTTCCCTTCACGTGAAACTTGCATCATATTACTGGCTTAGGGATCCTTCTTGAGCCCTTCTCGGATGCGGTCTTTAAGGTCCACTGAAATTTGGCACGCAGACGGTTTGCTGGAGGAGAGGGCACCTAGTTCTGTCTTCCTGCTGAGAGTATCGATAACCTTGTTCATAGGTCTAGGCTTGTACTCCAATGTCATGTCCAACTCGGCCAGAAAGTCTTGCCAACGTGCTTGCTTTGGGCTCAACTTCTTCTGAGACTGGAAGTAGCTGGTGGCTATATTTTCTGTCTTCACAACAAAGTGGGAGCCAAGAAGATAATGCCACCAAGTGCAGAGGCAATGAATAATGGCCGCCATCTCCTTCTCTTGCACTGTGTATCTTTGTTCAACCTCATTGAGCTTACGACTTTCAAAAGCAACAGGGTGGCCATCCTGCATCAACACACCCCCAATAGCAAAGTCTGAAGCATCAGTATGCATCTTATAGGGCTTGTTGGGGTCCGGTAGGTTCAGCACCAGTTCTTCTGACACAGTCTTCTTTAAGTCTTCAAAGGCCAAGTTACATGCTTCTGTCCATCTCCATGCACATGTCTTCTTAAGGAGGTCAGTCAAAGTGGCAGTCTGAGCTGAGTAGCTTGGTATGAATCTCCTGTAGTAATTGACAAGCCCCAAGAATGAATGGAGTTCTATCAATGTGGTAGGGGGCTCCCAGTCTTGAATGGCACTGACCTTGGTGGGGTCCATGCTGATGGTGCTCACGTGGATGATCTGCCCAAGGAAGGCCACCTCTTCCCTAGCAAATGAACATTTTTCCTTCTTCACATACAAGTGATTCTCCCGTAGTACCTGGAATACAATGCGGAGGTGGTCAACATGCTCCTCCATTAAACTACTATAAATTAAAATATCATCAATGTAAATAACAACAAATTGATCGAGGTAAGGATGAAAAATGCAATTCATCAAAGTATAAAAAGTGGTTGGGGCATTAGTGAGCCCAAAAGGCATGACAAGGAATTCAAAGGACCCATATCTTGTGACGCAGGTGGTCTTGGCTTCATCACCTTCAGCAATGCGGACTTGATAATAGCCCGAACGCAGGTCCAATTTGGTGAAGCACTTGGTATGGCTCAACTGATCAAACAAGTCTGCGACTAGAGGAATGGGGTACTTGTTCTTGATGGTGACCTTGTTCAAAGCCCGATAATCAATGCAAAGGCGAAGTGGGCCATCATGTTTCTTCTGAAATAAAACTAGTGCTCCATAAGGAAGCTTGGAAGGTTGGATAAACCCAGCTTCCAATAACTCACTCAACTGCTTCCTTAACTCAAAAAGTTCTAGAGGAGCCATGCGATATGGAGGGCGAGCTAGGGCCTTGGCACCTGGTTCCAACTCGATCTTGTGATCAACTTCATGCCTGAGAGGCAATGTCTTTGGGAGCTGTGGTGGCATAACATCTGCAAATTCACTCAGAATGGCCATGACCTTTGGAGTACACTTCTTAGAACTGAATCCTGTGCATCAAGGTTCACCATGGTGGCTAATTAGGTAGCCTCGCCCTTTCGAACACCCTTTCGAAGCTGCAAGGCTGATAACTGCTTGTTTGGTTGGTCAACCCTAGGCATGATTGGTACCACGCAAGGCAAGGGCTCTTCAAAGATGCAAACAAAATTGAGGAAGGGCACGAGCACCGCCTTCACCTGAGATAGAAAATCCATGCCCAAGATAACCTGGAAATCAACCATAGGAACTACAGATAAATCAACAAGCCCTTACCAGTCGCCCACTTATAGTTCTACTCCATGAGCCACCCCCTTGATGGGTTTGGCACTAGAATTTACCGCCTTTAACCACCTCGTCTCCTTAGTTGGAATGAGCTTCAGGTGTTGTGCCTCTTCCACCGAGATGAAGTTGTGGGTGGCGCCTGTGTCAACCATAGCTTTTGCAGGCCTCCCATTTATGGATATCCCAATGTACATCAGCCCTTCTATGTGGCCATTTAAGTATTCTGGGTGGTCCCTTTCTTCTTCAAGGCATTGAATCTCTGTAAGGCCCCCATCTTTGGTTCTTTTGTTTCTTTCTCCTCATCACTACGTTCATCATCACTGAGCTTTGTGAAGAGGGCATTCAACTTTCCTCAATTTGGGCACTCCCTTGTCTAGTGCTTGCCTCCACAAAGGAAGCATGGTGATGGAGAGGGTCTCTTGGCGAAGTTCCCATACCTGAAGCTAGACTCCCCCTTGGGCTTTCTCCAGCTCCTCCCATCATTGGGCTTGCTGTATCCAGTTGAGCCTTTTAGGGCAAAGTAAGGCTTCTTGTCTCCTCCTGGCTTGCCTTGGCCTTGGAAATTGTTAGGCCTCGGCCCATTTCTGTTAGGTCTTCTGTTGTCCACTAACTATTCTGCAACCTCCATGGCTGTGGCAAGGTCATTCACACCTCGTCGTTGAAGTTTGAGCCCAGCCCACTGTTGAAGGCTGTCCATGAAGTTGAAGAGCAAGTCCTTGTTTGACATGCCGGTGATTTCAAGTGACAGGGCAAAGAACTCCTTCACGTACTTGTGCAAAGAGCCTATTTGTTTTAAGTTCTTAAGCTTTCAACGGGTCTGGTACTCCACATTCTCAAGATAAAAAGAGCCTATTTGTTTTAAGTTCTTAAGCTTTATCTCAGCTTTCGACGGGCCTGGTACATAACAACCGTGCGAACCTTGGCTGACTCCTCCACTAGTTCAGTGGTGGAGAAATACTGTTCCATCTGCCACAGGAAGTTGTCAAGCTCTAGGGCATCACAGGCCCCTGCGTAAGGGGTAGGCTCACGAACTTTGATCTTGGGTGGTCTTGGGGTGGTCAACGAGTTGGCAGCACTGACCATCAACTTCTTCAAAAGGGTCACAAATTAGTAAAAAGGCACTTTATATTGCATGGGAAGTGGCAAACACAAGCACACAATTTAGTGTCGAGAGGATCTCGTGCTTAACCTTTACACGTCTTAGTTTCACTCAACTACCTACCTCCCCTCAAAGAGTAGCTTAAGCTTTTGGGGGAGTGACAAATGATTACATTATATTCTTGGAAAATCATACTACTATTTACAAGAAATGCCATTGGCAAAACCCCCCTTACAAAATGAGTACAACAACCCACCCAATACACTGACACACTAATGGCACCTCAGCAAGCTTCACCTGTGACAATACAGGTATGGATTGCACATTCTAACCTACGCCAAGGGTACCAGCCCCTACCCTACCCTCCCGATTGGACGGTTTTTTTTTTCAATGACAGATTTTTAGCGTGTATGGGTTTTGGGATTCTACAATAATCCTTATAGGTACAGATAGGATATAGTATTAGATTAAACCCCATCCTCCTTGACTTGCATAATTTTATATACTATGTGTTGAATTTAATAATATTTTAAATTTTATATGGAAGGTAATGGCTAGTTTATGTTTTTCTTACATGTCTTAATCAAATAATTAGAAATTTTGATGTTTATTTGTGCTATTTTACTTATTTATTGTTTATATATGACAATAAATAATAAGAAATTAGATGCGGATTCTAAACCCAATACACCCCTACCCTTGAATGTGG